AGAAAATGTCGGTACATATACACCACGGAATATTATGTAGCCATAAAAAGAAATGAGATCATATCTTTTGCAGGGACATGGATGAAGTTGGAAACCTTCATTTTCAGCAAACTAACACAGGAACAGAAAACCAAACACTTCATGTTCTCACTCATAAGTGGGAGCTGAACAATGAGAACACATGGACACAGGGGAGGAGAACAACACACACCAAGGCCTGTTTGGGGTGGGGGTGAGGGGAGGGACTCAGAGAACGGGTCAATAGGTGCGGCAAACCACCATGGCACATGTATCCTATGTAACAAACCTGCACGTTCTTTGGTGTGTGTCCCAAACTTAAAGTCAAATAAAAATAAAAAATAAAAATAAAGCTATAGTAATCAAAAATTATAATATTGAGATAACAGGTATACACTGGTGCTGTTCAGGCAAAGCCAAACGTAGGGTGAGCCAGTAAAATAATAGTACTTACTGTATCAAGTTCTTGCAATGAGTCAGTGGAGCAAAATATATGTAAATTAGTTAGCTATCATGGGAAACATTCAATAAGTGGTAGCTGCTTATGTTGGTATTTTTCATGCCTCCTACTTTGGCTAACAAAGCAAGAAAACCAGTGAGCTGTTTATTCTTATCTTTTAATAGATGATGCTGGGTCTTAGTAATGGTAATGAGTGTTTAACAATATAATCCATACAGATCCCTGTTTGAGAGGGAAAGGAACTTTATGTCTATTCTAGTTATGGTTTATTATAGTGATTCTCCACCCAAAGGAGGAAAATCTGTTTTTCCAATTTAAAAACTTGAAACAGCCCATCGTGCCTCTTCCACAGACCTAGCTCCTTAGCTTGCAGTTACTTCCACAGGAAGCCACTTCTACTGAGTGGACTGTGTCTGAGCTCTTAGGCTTATTGGAGCAGATAAACATTAAAAATAACTAATGTATTAGATTATTTCCTTACAGGAAGTAATTTTTATAATTCGGATTCCCTGTGCATATTACAGTAACAGGTACATAGAAGATACTCAATACATATTTGTTGAACTAGTGAAACTATGAATAAATAGAAGTCGGCAGCTAAAAATCAACCTTATGAGGTGATGGCCTGCAACCAAAGCTCCACCATGATTGGGAACTTTCCTGTGCTTCAGCTAAAACATCTGAGGGTCACAGAATCAAGGAGTTCAGGGATTTCACAGCTGCAGCTGGTGCCAAGCAGCTGTTTGTGATTTAGATTGGTGCCTTTAGTTAATTGATTGTAATAAGTAAAAACTCAGTAAAGTTAATCTGCTAATTATCTCAAAAAAAAATAAAAAAGAAAATGGCAGAAAAAATTTCCGCAACACTTTTTAAAAAGTAGTAAGTTCAGTTCTTAAAAAAAAGTTCCGAACCTAAAATAAAGGTTAAAAATAAAACAGCCATTAAGACCTAAAGCAGCAATGAAAACAATAATAGTTGCCTTGCCACAGTTTCTGTAAAATTAGCCCTTACAAACTATCGAAGCATCAAATTGTTTGATTTACTCCTTCGAAGACTGGGTCTCAAAATGGCTTTAACACTCAATACATTTTTTTTTTTTTTTCGAGTGTCTACTCTGCCACGCACTGTTCAAAGAACTGAGAGTATACAGGAGAAAAAAAAAACAACACACAGCAAAGACCATGCTTTCATGGAGCTTATACTGACATGGAAAGGGGATTATTTATATTAAATTTTAATTCCTCTTACCACATACTATCGGTATTTTTCTCTTTTTCACTACAGATTAAGAAGAACCTTGACTGCCATCTCTTGTTAAACGTCTTCTTATTCCAAACAATATTCTTCTCTGCTTACTATTATTATGTGTGGCAATATCTTACTAAATTTTATATACGCTTATAAATTCATTATTTATAAAATATTTTTAACAACCTACAAAATAAACATACTGTGCATTTTGATTTAATATATTTAAGTAACTCTGAGTTAATACTGTTAAATAACAAATGCCAATAAAAATAACAACTCAATCATAGGATTTATCATGGTAAATGTCCGAGGAAGAAAGACACAAGGGACAAGGAAATATTATATAATTATATGACCATGGAGTAAAATCATGCAAATGTGGAAAGATTTAGATCGCTTCTCTTGTAAACAAATGCCTTAAATCTGTAATCCAGACTTTGGAGCCCATCCCTCAGACATCCCTTGATGAGACAAGAGCGCCGACTCTAATTGCTCTGCAGACCTTGAATACAAAACCACATGGTCAACCAAGGCAGAGGGAGTGTGGAGGACACTCAGCCTGCCTCCAACAGAGAGACCCCTGGGCTAATTCAGGTGGCATTATCACAGAAGAATATGATAAACAAGACTGCACCACCACCATGTCAGAGGCCAGAAAGAGGAAGAACCAGAAGAAGCAGTCTCCAAAATGCATGAGCGTCCAACACAGCATCCCCTCCCACATCAATTTCATCCGACTTCTTTACAGATAAAAATCCTCTCTACTTTGGCTGATTTGAAGACAGGTTTCATTTTTCCATTAAACTTTCTGTTTCCCAAGCTAAAGTTTTACAATTACTCAAAATCACTTTTAATATATCATTTCTTATATAAAGTTTCTAAACTTGTGATAATAATACAACTAAGTTTTGTTCCCTACCAGTCAAACAATTCTAATCTAACCCAATTCAACTCAGCAAGACCCTCTCCTAAATTTTCCTCTATTTGTACATTTAGACTGTTTCTCCCACAATTATCCATCATCAGTTACACATTCTAATAGTTTAAATCAAACTTGGCAAACAAGATAAAAAGAACATGCTAAGTTCAGGAAAAAACAGGAGGGAGGAAACTACCTTTAATTTGGATCCATGAGGCACGAGTACAGATTTATTCTGCTTTGGTGGAATATACAGCTCCCATTTTCCATAATCCAGTTTTTTATATGGGTATGAAAATGGATTCCAACCATCTAAAAAAATAAAGAAGATCAGTTAACAACAGCATGATAGGACTAATAATTAATGAAATTTCAAGAAAAACAAAATACAGTTTTACTTGCACAAAAAATCAAATTGTCTAAAAAATTGTTTTCTAAAGTTTTAATCAAAATACTAGTGGTTTAGAAAAGGCAGGTTATTCTTAATTTACTTATAAAATATGCATTTTGAAGTCTGCTTTTGCATTTTATAATTAAATTAAGACTATAACATTTTCAGTTGTGGTTTCAACTCTAATGCTTCTGTCAATAAACAGAATGCAAAAGAAAACGATGGATCCTTTTTTTAGAAAACACCATCAACAAAAAGACACATTATGAACAAACAGAAATGTAGATGTCATGGTAGAAAAACAATGAAAAACCATTAAAATCATATAACATTTACTGAATTTCTTAAGAGTGTGACAGAGTTGACATAAAATCTAAAGAAATGCCTTAAGCAAGAAAGACAGAAGGTTATATAAAGTGTAGGAAGTAAAGAAAAGGTGGAATGCAGGATGTGGAAGAAAGTAAAACAAGAGCAGACCCACACACACGGAAATTAACATATCATAAGGGAGGCGTTAAAAACCAGTAAGTCAAGGACACACTATTAAATAAGTCGTGCTGGAACAACTGATTATCCTTATGAAAATAAAATAAAACAGATCTCCACCAACTAGTATGTCCCCAAATCATTTGAACATAGATTAATATTTATAGATGATAGGCAGAACCATAAAATGCTTAGAAGAAAACACAGAGAAATGCATTTACAATATTGGAATATAAAAGGTTTTTTAAATGAAATATTTTTTAAAACTATAAAACTTTAAGACTGGTAATTCTGACCATTAAAACTGTAAACTTATCATCATAAATAGATGAATCGACAGAATGACAAGACAAGCTATAAACTGGGAGAATACATTTGTAATGAATATACCAAAAGACAGAGAGCATCCACAATACATGAAGAACATTGTAAGTCAATGAGACAAAGAAAACAAACCAAGAGAAAGATTGACAAAAAATTTATTCAGGAGAGGACACTTGAATGGCCAATAAACATATGTAATGATACTCAAGCTCACTGTTGAATCAAGCAATCACAAATTAAAACAACAATAAGATATCATTTCGCACGCAGGGCATTGGAAAAAATTAAAAGTCTAAAAATATCATCTAGTCAGCAACCATATAAAACATCGCTGCTGAAGGTAGTATCATTGGTAAAAACAACTTGACATCATATATGATGCAAAGTTAAAGACATCTTAACCCCATAGCCCAACAATTCTGTTCCTAGGAAATAGCTTAGAGGAATTCTCATAAATGTACACAAGAAGGCATTCAAAATTATTCACTGAAGAACCCTTTGCCATAGCCAAAACACTGGAAGCTATCAAAATTTCAACAGCCACAATATGGGTAAAACTTTGCAATATAATTAAACAACTGGATGCTATACAATGGTATAAAATGAATGGATTAGAGTACCAACATATGCAAATATCCCACATACAAAAGTTAATTTTAAAAGGGTACAGAAGAATAGCATTTATATCAAGATCAAGAACTATCAAAACATTATATGAAACTTACTGATATATATGTATGTAGTAAAAATATTAAATCAGAAATAGGAATATGAAATATCAAATTCTATGGTGATTTCCTGTGGGTAGAAGAAAGGGAACACATGAAGCTTCAATATCTGCAATATTTTTGTTAAAGTGAGTTGTATACACATAGATGTTTATTACATAATTTGCTATTTGTTTATGCCTAAAATATTTCATGGTATTAAAAAAATCAAGCAGCCTCGTGGCATATACTCTGTTGCTAAGAGACTACATTCTCAACTAAGGACATAATAAAGGAATCATCAGGAAACTCATCTTATGCCATGTTTTCTTCCATTACACACCAACATTTTCACTCTTCTCTCTCAGCCAGTCTGAACAATGGGGGTAAAACAGGAGTAAGAAATAAGATTTAAATAAAGGTTCTTCTAAACAGTTACCTATTCCCCATCATGAAGACAGTCTGAAAATGTCTAACAGCAGTTTGTCTTCAAGGGCAGCTCTACAAGTTTGGTGCTGTTATACTCCTCTTCACCTAAAAACCTCAAATACATCGCACCTAAATACGCTGTGACCTTTCATTACCAAAACAAAGAGTTTAGTCCATAATTAGAGGAAAAAAATAATAAACGTTTGGAATATAAAAATCTAGGTAATAGAACACTACATGATTACTGCATTTCTTTTTAGCTAATAACTTAAGACAAACAGCAGATCTTTTCCCGGTCAGGTAGATCTGAAAATACAGGGTACAGTTCATTAGTTCATTCATTCATTCATTAAATATGTATTGCATGCTTAATGCAGGCCCTGTTCAATGCCAAACCAAATTTAGCATTCCAAATTAGTCCTATCTCATAAAAAAAAGGTTAAATTGGGCTATAATAGACCAATATAAATGAGAAGTACAATGGTATATCCACTAAAAATTTATTAAAAGATTCAGATACTTTGAAAGTGAAAATTCAATGATAGGTGAAATTTAGATATGCAGATTTATTTGTAAGAGCTGTTTCCCCACTGTGAAAATGGCTTCCAATATCAGTTTTTGAAAATTGATGAACTAATTCTTTAGCTTGATATCAACTATTATTTTAAGACTATTTAAATAAGCAAAGTATTAATATTTGGTAAAAAAAAAAAATTCTTTTACTATGTCATATTTTTCTTTTATAATAGTGTAATGATACAAAATCTCCAAAAGCATATGCTGATTATTTGTAATTATACACTGTGAAAAACATGTTTTCTTTGCATCTTCAAGAGTTTCATTTTAGTAATGCCCTTCTCCTCATGGGAATTCAGGTGTTGGCTTTCACTGCAGGTACTCTTTTCTGCCAAGCACAAATCTTTAAAGCAAGACTGAGAACATCTTCACATATTTACCCCCACCCAAAAAAAACCCAGTACGTTAGCCATCATAAGCTATGTAGAGCATTCTAAGGATTTCATATGGGAGAGAAAGAAGGTTTGCAAGCATATACGTATGAAATTACTTAAGATTTTTCCATTACTCATTTTTCTCTCCAAATAAATCCCTCTTCAGCTACCCTACCATCAGATTTTCCATCTCCTTGACTCTTTCTTTAGTCATTGCAAAGCCCTAAATTCTTCTCTCTCATTCCTTTATTAGTGTTTGTTTCTTCTTTCCATTAAAAACATGGGCACCAACCAAAATATCCACTTCTACCATACTACATCACACAAAGGAATTTTTCCAGTAAAACCAGTTCCTGCCTAATATGAGTTTCTCAAAATACCCAATAAGAACAGCTTTACTCCACAGAATACACATATCTCAATATCCAGAAACAGAATAATCAGGAAAATCACTGGATTTGGATCCGTGCTTATAAAGTTAACATTAAACACTTAGCTAAGAAAGAAGGAACTATCATTAAGATGTATCCAAGTGTGATATTAGGAACCAAACACGGAAGCACAGTTAAAAATAAATACATAAAATTCAACTTCAAATTGTTGGTATAAAAATTCTGAAAATTGATTTTAAGTAAAATTTGATTTAGAAAAACACAGAAGGCAAAATAATATAAGCTGGTAGACACATTTTAGGGAAATGCATGTCTTGTGAAATAAGTCATGTGACTCTACTACAGAATATAATTGAAAATAAAGTAATAATATTAATAACAATAATAAATTGTACCAAGCCATATCAGAGCCTATCTAAAGACATTTATAAAACAAATCAGGTCACTCAGACATTTTTCATTTAATCCTACACGACTTATGCTGAGTACACGAGAGAGAATTAATTATGTAATGCAAAGAGTTTGCATTGCTATGCAGACCTGAGGATAGAAACAAACATGACTTCATCATGTGTGACAATTATTTGCTTCTCTACCAAGCATAGAACTACACATAGAACTAGAACGGTCTCTATCTAGGTCAGTGGGTTCTCAAACTATACCTCACATGAGAATCACATGGATTTGTTAAAATACAGATTGCTGGGTCCCAGTCCTAGAGTTTTTTATAGAGATCTTTGGTGAGGCCTAATAATTTGCATTTCTAAAAAGGTCACAAGTGATGTTGATGCCAGTGGCCTAGGGACTACAGTTTAGAAACAACTGCCCTGGTTAAATCCACTTAACACTTTTGTGAGTAATTTTCTAGATGAAGTTAAACTAAAAGGCTATCAAATAATATATCAACAGGTCAAGGGACTTCTGAAATCAAAAATGTCATAAGTAATCCTTTGAGGTAAGTGTTAATCACATGATATATAGGATTTAAGATTTAGGATTGACTGGGGTTATAAAGCCCAGGAAGGGTGACCAGGGAGAATCAGATTAAAGATGCAATTTCAGAGATCAAGGAATTTAAATGTATTAATGTGAGGGAACAGAAATGATAATAAGAACATGAAAAGACAACATGCATTAAAACCATTATTGAATATACTATTATTAGTGTCTATAGATAATATTTTCTATAATATTCACAACAAAACATAACTTGGTTAAAAAGTATAAGCAACTGATAACAAAATGAATAAAAAATTAAAGGTTTATTTTTCCCACAGAAAAGTGATATTAAACCTTTTAAATGTTAACAATATTAACTCATATTCCTGTCTACTCTCCATTATCTACCATAATCTAGATATTACTAGGCTCAAAGTTAGGTACCCCCAAAACAAGGTGTGCTTATTTTTTCAGTTTTGGTGAAATTTTAAGAACATGTTTCCTACATTCATAAATTATTTTATTACAACATCTGCTAAAACATTTGATGTTTATTGAGTACAGAAAACCTGATACAGTTCTGTTTTAACGATAAAATGTTAAAATTTATTAAAACTTAGGTACACAAATAAAGACCATACAGGCGCTATTTACAATTGAGATAAATGTAAACAAATATAAAGACCTTTATGAT